ATCAAGAGGTTCTTTAGTTGGTGATCATTTCCTTTATTCTCATGACCTTCATGCATGATTCAGAGGTAATACTGTAGGGAGATTACATGCTAGTCACTCTTAAGGGTGTAAGGATTAATATGCGGTGTCGCTTAAGGTGTACGAGGAAACGAGACTTGGTGACAGTCCACCCACGGGGAACTTAAATTTGCAATCGCGGTGACCGATTTTTATCGTGAGAAACTACCTCGGGGGAATTATAGCTTTTGGAGCTGATATCGGCCACGAGAACAACAGGTTTTCTCATGAAAGCTACCCTAAAGTAACAAAATGGGAAACGTGAAATCCTATGCAAGTGAACCAATCAGCGCTTGTCGGTGAGTACGTTGCTGATCACATATGTGGATTTATATGTTATCTCGTGAGACATGTGACGTTAGGCAATATGCTTTTTTCATTTATAACTTGGAATGCTGCGATTTGGAACTCGTATGGGTATATTTCGGTTTTTTGGAATATTCTACAATTTTCTCCCGATTAAAAGATTCATTTTTGTCTTAGAACCAGCCTTCATTCCGACTTAGGGTTGTAAATATTGACTCAGATTGGCCTTTAGTTAGTGTAGTTAAGAAACTACTGTGCTGATCAATGAAAGTATTTGCCCATTCGCCCATCAAAAATTCCTGGTTCCGTACCAGATCAGGGCTTTCAGCCCATTGATTCCTGCGGTAAGCTTACCCATTCATGAATTACATATCGATTTCAAAGCTATGTTAATTAAGACCCACTAGTTCTGAAGAGGAAAGGAAGAAAGGCAGGGCTGTGTAGACTGTTAAAAAATTATTTCAGACACCTTTCCTTCTTACTAGTGAGAGGGGAGTTGTGAGGGGGGAAGATACAGGGAGGCACCGCGCTATCACCACAATTTTATCCCCCCCCCCCCCCCCCCCCCCCCCCCCCCCCCCCCCCCCCCCCCCCCCCACCCCAGCCCCTGCGTCCCCTCACCTCTCCAAGTTTTTCCACCCTCCAAGATGGCCGAAGTGAAATCGTTCTTACTTCTTTTTTCGGTTATAATATCAATGGAATTATCCTTTTCGGCTAGAATCGCAGGTCTTAGCGGAACTTCTTCGGGATCTCATTATTTTACGATCAAAAAGGTCATGGAGGAGTTGTTCTCCCGAGGTCACGAGGTGAGAGTTTCCTTCTTTCACATTAGTTGCGGTCCCAACTGCAGTAAATATATCCTTGAAACCTGCGTGTATCGCTTACTTAAGGTAATTTTTCACGTGGGAGAATGCTCACTACTTCGCAACCTGTAAAACTTTGCATTTGAAACGCCGATTCCTCTGAAGAGCGAGCAAAATCTCGGATCTCGTGACTCGCCGTTTTGGCCGGCAACGAAAGAACATGGCGATCACACCTCGTCATCAAATCTTCGCGCCTACTAATTTCTCCTTCAGTGTGCTCACTCTCTTCATCGGCTTCAGAGCAAAGGGTCCACGGCTCAACTTGTAAAATTAACGTCGATTTCTGATAAGCAGACATAAAACGTATGCCCCAGGGAC